TATATACAGGGAGATCCCGAAAAACCTTCCGTCTTTAAAATGACGTATTCCTGATACTATTCTAAGACAATTTTTTCTTTACCAAAATTTGATTTGAAGCGTAGTTTTTGAATTATAAGCAAAAATAGTTAGTAAATCATGCGTCGGGTACAGGAGGCAGGCAGGGGCGGCCCGACGCGCCGCGAGCGCGGGCGCAGCTGACCGACAGGCGATTACCACTGCATGAGTCACTAACTATTTTATCTTATAACATAAAATTATGCTTGAAATAAAATTTTGGTAAAGAAGAAAATGTCTTAGAATTACATCAGGAATACGTGTTCCTTAAAATAATGTTAATTATTAAAAGTTATTCCGGATCGCCGACCGTCGAACGTTGTAATCAGCTGATTGCTACACGCGATGTATGTATGGCGGAGTGTGTGCGTAAAAGAGAGAGAGAGAGAGAGAGAGAGAGAGAGAGAGAGAGATTGCTCACTCACCTTGTAGCAGCGTAGCGAATCTTTATGCTACGTATTGTTGTAACTGCTGCACGATTATCAGATCGCTGCACCGCTGATGTTAGAGATGCGCGACACATCGAAACTTTCTCACTTCGAAACACTTTTACACTCGATTAACACAGATTACGCGATAACGAGTTTATTATTCTGTTTATTACTCACTCGATTCACATCGTTTTATCGAGACTAAAAATTACTTTAAAAGAAACGCGAGAGAACACATGACTCGACGCGAAGCGACGGACCGCGGAGACTGCGCGACCACGAGGGTTATGTGTTGCCAGAAACGCGACACGCGACATCTAACAATAAACGACTTGCACGACTGACGCGAGATAAGACGAACAATCGGCTAAAACTTTCTCATTGCGAATGCGGTAGAAAACATGAAACGTATAAAACATGAAACGTACTTAAAATAATTAATTATTTATTATAAATAATAACTATTTTTAATCATAATAAATAATTATTATTTTAAAAAGCATGTGTTATGCGTTATTACATTTTCGAAACTATTGCATTCACGATGCGAAGATTTCAGTCAATCGCAGGAATAATGTAATTAACAAATTACATTTGGGAAAATTTATTTTTATTCTGCTCACAATAAAATGTTCCAACGTGAAAATGTATTGGTCGCTCTGAAAAGAGCGGATTGATTAAAAAAAATTTTAGAGCAGATGCTCAAAATGCCCGCCATCCATCCTAACGCAAGCTCTCATGCGTTTTAATAAATTTCTTTCGACGTTTTCCATTATTTCTTCGTCGATATTCCAAATAGCGAATCGTAATCTTGTCTCTAGATCTTCGATATTTTCGGGAAGCGTTTTATAAATGATTTCCTTACAGTATCCCCATAAGAAAAAATCTAGAGGGTTGAGATCCGGAGATCTTGCGGGCCAACGTATCGGGCCGTATCGACCCATCCAGCGTCCAGGAAAATTCTCGTTCAAAAAATTTGTAACAATTCTGGCGTTGTGTGGCCCAGCACCGTCTTGTTGAAAGATAATATTATTTCTTTCAAATAATGGCACATCTTCCAGGAAATGTGGTAGATTTTCTGTTAAAAAATCGACGTAGGTTCCTCCAGTTAAAATGTCTGGAAGAATAACCGGACCAAGAATTTCAGTGCCCATTATTCCAGCCCATACATTAATCTTCCAACGAGTTTGAAAATTTCGTAATCGCGTGACTCTCGGATTTTCTTCGCTCCAAAAGTGCATATTATGCACATTAAAAATTCCTTCTTGTGTGAATAGCGATTCATCGCTGAATATCACACGAGAGGAATATCTTGGATCTTGATCGACGTTTCGCAAAAAATTTTCGCAAAACGTTCGTCTTGCAGGGTAATCTGCTGGTCGTAAATGCTGCACGCGTGTATAATGAAACGCGTGCAACTTTTCTTCTTTTAATATTCTTTGTACGGTTGTATACGATAAATCATGTTCTCGAGCGACTACCCGAATACTTGTTTCGGGATTATCCTCGAAAGTACGTAGAACTCTTTCTGTATTCCGTACATTTCTAACGCTGCGATTTCTCCCAGCGTCATGTTTGTTCGGCAGGACACTGCCAGTATCGTATAATCTTTGAGCTGCTCCAAGTATGACATGACCCGATGGATGTCTTCGGTTTGGATATAATTCGGCGTATCTTCTTGCAGCAGGATTCTGCTGCCCGTGACACTCGCCAAGTGCCATCAGCATGTCGTAGTATTCTTGATTTGTGTACGCTGCCATATCTTCTTCGCGCTTATTGATATCGCTTATTGAGATCGCTGATAATCGCAAGCTTATTGATTGCATTATCGATCGTGCGTTTAATTTATACGATCTTCGCTGGGGGTCTGCGTCCCTCCTCGCCTCCCGCGACCAATCGCTAATAAGCGTGCGCGACATTCGCGATTGGTCGCGGGAGGCGAGGAGGGGCGCAGACCCCCAGCGAAGATCGTATAAATTAAACGCACGATCGATAATGCAATCAATAAGCTTGCGATTATCAGCGATCTCAATAAGCGATATCAATAAGCGCGAAGAAGATATGGCAGCGTACACAAATCAAGAATACTACGACATGCTGATGGCACTTGGCGAGTGTCACGGGCAGCAGAATCCTGCTGCAAGAAGATACGCCGAATTATATCCAAACCGAAGACATCCATCGGGTCATGTCATACTTGGAGCAGCTCAAAGATTATACGATACTGGCAGTGTCCTGCCGAACAAACATGACGCTGGGAGAAATCGCAGCGTTAGAAATGTACGGAATACAGAAAGAGTTCTACGTACTTTCGAGGATAATCCCGAAACAAGTATTCGGGTAGTCGCTCGAGAACATGATTTATCGTATACAACCGTACAAAGAATATTAAAAGAAGAAAAGTTGCACGCGTTTCATTATACACGCGTGCAGCATTTACGACCAGCAGATTACCCTGCAAGACGAACGTTTTGCGAAAATTTTTTGCGAAACGTCGATCAAGATCCAAGATATTCCTCTCGTGTGATATTCAGCGATGAATCGCTATTCACACAAGAAGGAATTTTTAATGTGCATAATATGCACTTTTGGAGCGAAGAAAATCCGAGAGTCACGCGATTACGAAATTTTCAAACTCGAAGATTAATGTATGGGCTGGAATAATGGGCACTGAAATTCTTGGTCCGGTTATTCTTCCAGACATTTTAACTGGAGGAACCTACGTCGATTTTTTAACAGAAAATCTACCACATTTCCTGGAAGATGTGCCATTATTTGAAAGAAATAATATTATCTTTCAACAAGACGGTGCTGGGCCACACAACGCCAGAATTGTTACAAATTTTTTGAACGAGAATTTTCCTGGACGCTGGATGGGTCGATACGGCCCGATACGTTGGCCCGCAAGATCTCCGGATCTCAACCCTCTAGATTTTTTCTTATGGGGATACTGTAAGGAAATCATTTATAAAACGCTTCCCGAAAATATCGAAGATCTAGAGACAAGATTACGATTCGCTATTTGGAATATCGACGAAGAAATAATGGAAAACGTCGAAAGAAATTTATTAAAACGCATGAGAGCTTGCGTTAGGATGGATGGCGGGCATTTTGAGCATCTGCTCTAAAATTTTTTTTAATCAATCCGCTCTTTTCAGAGCGACCAATACATTTTCACGTTGGAACATTTTATTGTGAGCAGAATAAAAATAAATTTTCCCAAATGTAATTTGTTAATTACATTATTCCTGCGATTGACTGAAATCTTCGCATCGTGAATGCAATAGTTTCAAAAATGTAATAACGCATAACACATGCTTTTTAAAATAATAATTATTTATTATGATTAAAAATAGTTATTATTTATAATAAATAATTAATTATTTTAAGTACGTTTCATGTTTTATACGTTTCATGTTTTCTACCGCATTCGCAATGAGAAAGTTTTAGCCGATTGTTCGTCTTATCTCGCGTCAGTCGTGCAAGTCGTTTATTGTTAGATGTCGCGTGTCGCGTTTCTGGCAACACATAACCCTCGTGGTCGCGCAGTCTCCGCGGTCCGTCGCTTCGCGTCGAGTCATGTGTTCTCTCGCGTTTCTTTTAAAGTAATTTTTAGTCTCGATAAAACGATGTGAATCGAGTGAGTAATAAACAGAATAATAAACTCGTTATCGCGTAATCTGTGTTAATCGAGTGTAAAAGTGTTTCGAAGTGAGAAAGTTTCGATGTGTCGCGCATCTCTAACATCAGCGGTGCAGCGATCTGATAATCGTGCAGCAGTTACAACAATACGTAGCATAAAGATTCGCTACGCTGCTACAAGGTGAGTGAGCAATCTCTCTCTCTCTCTCTCTCTCTCTCTCTCTCTCTCTCTCTCTCTTTTACGCACACACTCCGCCATACACACATCGCGTGTAGCAATCAGCTGATTACAACGTTCGACGGTCGGCGATCCGGAATAACTTTTAATAATTAACATTATTTTAAGGAACACGTATTCCTGATGTAATTCTAAGACATTTTCTTCTTTACCAAAATTTTATTTCAAGCATAATTTTATGTTATAAGATAAAATAGTTAGTGACTCATGCAGTGGTAATCGCCTGTCGGTCAGCTGCGCCCGCGCTCGCGGCGCGTCGGGCCGCCCCTGCCTGCCTCCTGTACCCGACGCATGATTTACTAACTATTTTTGCTTATAATTCAAAAACTACGCTTCAAATCAAATTTTGGTAAAGAAAAAATTGTCTTAGAATAGTATCAGGAATACGTCATTTTAAAGACGGAAGGTTTTTCGGGATCTCCCTGTATATATATATATATATATATATATATATATAAATTATGTATCAATCTCAGTCTTGTTTTGTCTATGCTTGCTGTTAATTGCCCATGCTTGCTTGTAATATCTGGCAGTAACAAACCTGTAAAATTAATAAAATTGTAATAAAATTAATTTTATTTCTTAAGTCTTGGGAAGTTTTTCTCTTTTATATTAAATTTTGTTACCTTAAGAATGATGAAAATAATATCAAATTCTCTGGTAATTCTTTTGCAAATATAGCTCCTTTAAGTTTAAAATATTTATTTTTAATTCCAATGGATTACATATCGAGACATTAATTCCGATCTAGTTTTCTGCATTTCAAGTCATGATCTGAATGTGTTGAGATAACCACCAGCTAAGGAATCCTTGGATGGAACTTGATCTCTTTCTAACATAACACAAGCTATCAAAATCTTGTGCCAAAGTAGCTGCTTCCAGATTACAACAGATCAAAGTTTTCCCAAATATATATCTGTATATATAAAAATAAAAGAATTAAATTAATAAAATAAATAAAATCTGTATATATGATGCAAAGAGAAAAAGTTTTAATTTAATAATTTTTATTTTTTATATACTTTTACCTTAATGCCTTATCAAATTTATGATCATAATTCAACTTGGATATCATGGGTATAGCATCAGAAGTCTACGAATATAAATATCCTTTACGTGAAGTCTATTTATAGAAGCATAAAAGTCATTTCTCCTAGCAATCGTTGATTGTTCATTTTTTTTTAAATTTTTGTGCCGAATTTATCAATTTCCACAAAGTGATAAAACAAACGATTCTCTACAGGCACTTCAACAGTTATATAAATGTTCTTGTTGCAAATGAAGTTCTCATCCATAATAACTGGCTTACTTCTTGGACCATATATCTGGCCATTTATCTCTTTCATCCTATAATAAGAGATAATAGATATTATAGCCCGAGAGACTATAACTTATTTTAGTAATTATATAAAACATTCGCGAATATCGTAAAGAACATTCGCGAGCCGCGCCAAGAACCGCTAACTCAGCGAACTACCGTCGCTCACCGGAAACGCGAAAGACGCTAACGAAGGAATTCGACTTTGAACTTCCTTCGTTTGCATTTTGACTATGAACGCCACAGAAAACCCCATGACCATATATGGTCATGTTGCCAGGCGATCCCCTCCAAAAAACCCTTCAAAACAGAGGGAATAAAAGCCGTCCACCGCAAATCCGCGGCGGACAGTCACAAGTAATAAATCAATCACTAAAGTAGTGCCGAGTGCTAAACCGTTAAAATTGTGCAACGAAGACACCCAAAGAAATTGTAAACGCTCTAAATCTATTTACGAACGATTCGAGGAAAGGACAACGAAGAGAAGGCTCGAAAGAAACTGATAAGAATAGAAGATATTAAGTGAATATATATTTGTAAACTAAAAATACAATAAAAACTCTAAAGGATAATACGGTTCTATTTTATACTCCCGGCTACCCCACACCCCGTGCCCCGCCGGGCACGACAATATGTTTTCTATAATAAGAGATAATAGATATGTTTAAAATACTTTACTAAAATGTTACTAAAATAACTTTAAAAATTATTTTTTTTTACCTTCAGTAATGAATTGACTGCCACGATCTTGTTTAGCATATAATTTTTATATTTCTGTTTTTTTGATTATATAATTCTAGCAAACACTCTTTCTCGATGCGTTTCATTTGCTCATACTATATTAAACACATTTTTTAATGTTCACACATACACACACACACACACACATATAAATTAATAAGATAATTTTTGCATTTAATTTTACGAATTTTATCAACATAACCTTACATTTTAGGGCCGGAACACAGACTCTTGCTTCTTCTTCCTTTAATTTGAGTGGCCCCTAATTCCCAAAAGGAATATAAGATACTGGCCAAAAACTGGTATACGGTGCTACTGTCGAAGCCCTCGAGAGAGGGAGAAACTCAAAAATTAATTAAAATAAAAATCACGCGAAGAACGCGCAAGAACACGTCGCGCACGAAGGATCGGCCGCTCGCGAGTCGCGCGAAATAAATGGACACTCTTTGAAGGCAACTAGGAACTTTAATGCACAACACAGAACACAAACGATAACGTTATAACACAGAATAATAATACGAATAGCACAACGGATCGGCACGGGGGAAAACGCGTCCGCACAGCTAGACAGCTGGCTTCAAACTCAGCTGACGGTCGTTGTTTATCAACATTCTTCTTGACGACGGGATCCGGACAACGGCAGGGCCGTGATGACTCGGGCGCGCGCGTAACAGTATTATGCAAAAGTGATGCTCTCGGCCTTTGAAAAAAATTAAAAGATAAAACACAAATTGAAAACTGAAAATAGCTAATGAATGAGTTATTTGCGTGTGGCACAGGTCGATATAATTGGCTATGGTCAATTGCAGCGTAGTCAAATGGGATGCTCCCATCAAATTCTTTATGCATACGTTTATGCATTTTTATACAAGTATAGGCCGCAGCACACACTTTTGCATAAGCGCATAACCATAAGCATAAGGAAATTGATTGGTCCCCAAGTATATGCATAAGAAAATGAACCAATCAATTTTCTTATGCTTATATGATTATGCGCTTATGCAAAAGTGTGTGCTGCGGCCTTTTGTCTGGATTTCATATTAGGTCTGAAGAGACCATTTATGTCGCGTTTGTTATGTTCGCTTTCGTGATGAAAGCATTATTCTATTTTTATTTGTTGCTTATTATATCAAAGAAAGATAGAATGAAGCCCATTCTATAATGGCAGTAAGCAATACAGAATAAGGAGTAAGAAGTAAGATATTTGATGAATTAAAAACCGAGAATAAACCGAAATGGGCAAATCTCATCATTTCATACTCCTTTGTTTGTATATAAATATTTTAATTAATATAATAAACATTAAATATGAATATTTTACAATGTAAAAATAATATTTATATACAGCAGCAATGCAGCATGCTCTGCCGTCATACGATTACATTTAATTTTTAAAATACAATTTTAAAGAAATATTTTAAAATAATTATTAAAATAAACATTAAATAATATTTATATAATGTTTATTTTAATAATTATTTATTTTAAAATATTTCTTTAAAATTGTATTTTAAAAATTAAATGTAATCGTATGACGGCAGAGCATGCTGCATTGCTGCTGTGTTTCTGCTGTTATAGCGTGCTTGCACAAGTTTGATATTTCTGATGAGATTTTGCTATTACACTGTGACAACAGATTATGCGTACTCTCAGTATGCATTCTGCCGACACATTATTCCAGCATTGAATTGTTCTATTTATGCTGGTAAAACTCTGCTTTATTTCTGCTGCATTTCTATCATTACATCGTAACACACGTTATGCTCAACTTTTGCTGTGTTTCTGACAACATTAACTGAAACGGCATATTTTGCTAGAATATTAACAACATTCTGCTGACATAGTATGTAACACATAAATTGTAAAACGTGCTCTATCCGATTTTGCTATCTGGGTATATATATATATATATATATATATATATATATATATATATATTTACAGGGTGTCCCATTTAACTTGACACATCAAAATATCTCGTAAAATCTAAAAGATACGAAAAAATGTTTTAGACAAAAGTTGTATGGTTTCAAGGGGGACATAAGATGTCATTAGTTTGAGCTTGAAGAGTTACCTGAAGGTCACATGAAAGTCACCACCAACTTTTTAAATGGGACATATACTTTTGCATATTCTTGTAGCTTATCTCGAGAGTTTTCCAAAACACTATAATTAAGTATTTTTTCATTAATTACTTGTTGAGTTATAAGGCTTGAAATTATTTCTTAATTTTACATAAACCATAAAATATCTTGTAAAATATTTATTTTTCGATTACCTTACCTTAATACTTTTATGCACAAAATAATGAGAGGAATCAATTGGTGTAACGAAAACACATAGTTGTTACTAAGAAAAAATATGTAATTTGCAATTAACAATTCCATATTTTTTTTTTAAAAACAACTTTATGTTTTCTTTACACTAATTGATTCCTCTCATTATTTTGTGCATAAGTATTAAGGTAAGGTAATCGAGAAATGAATATTTTACTAGATATTTTATGGTTTATGTAAAATTAAGAAATGATTTCAAGCCTTGTAACTCAAGAAGTATTTAACGAAAAGGTAGTTAATTATAGTGTTTTAGAAAGCACTCGTGATAAGCTACAAGAATATGCAAAAGCATATAGGGTGTTCCATTTAAAAAGTTGGTAGTGACCTTCATGTGACATTCAAGTGATTCTTCGAGTTCAAACTAATGATACCATCTTATGTCCCCCTTAAAACCATACAACTTTTGTCTGAAACATTTCTTCATTTTAGGAGATATTTCAATGTGTCAAGTTAAATGGGACACCCTATATATATATATATATATATATATATATATATATATATATATATATACACAGGGTGGCCCATTTTAATTTCCCCAGCCAAATATTTCGGAAAATAATGAAAAATCAAAAAAATGTTAATATAAGATGGTACCATTGGTTTGACCTTGAAGAATTATTTGAAGGTCACATGAAGGTCACCTTCAATTTCTTAAATGGAACCTACATTTTCTCATTACATATTCTTGTAGCTTATCTCGAGAGTTTTCCAAAACACTATAATAAAATATTTTTTTATTGAGTACTTTTCGAGTTATGAGGCTTGAAATCATTTCTTAATTTAACATAAACCGTAATATATCTAGTAAAATATTCATTTTTCGATTATCTTGCCTTAATACTTTTATGTACAAAATAATGAAAGAAATCAATTGGTGTAAAAAAAAACACATAGTTGTTTCAAAGAAAAAATATGTAATTGTTAATTGCAAATTACATATTTTTTCTTACAAATAACTATGTGTTTTCTTTACACCAATTGATTTATCTCTTTATTTTGTACATAAAAGTATTAAGGCAAGATAATCGAAAAATGAATATTTTACTAGATATATTACGGTTTATGTTAAATTAAGAAATGATTTGAAGCCTCATAACTTGAAAAGTACTCAATAAAAAAATATTTTATTATAGTGTTTTGGAAAGCTCTCGAGATAAGCTACTATAATATGTAATGAGAAAATGTAGATTCCATTTAAGAAATTGAAGGTGACCTTCATGTGACCTTCAAATAACTCTTCAAGGTCAAACCAATAGTGCCATCTTATGTCCCCCTAGAAACCATACAACTTTTGTCTGAAACATTTTTTCGATTCTTCATTATTTTCCGAAATATTTGGCTGGGGAAATTAAAATGGGTCACCCTGTATATATAATTATCATTATACATGTAGGGAATATTTCTGCGTAACTATATTTGTGTCTACGTAGGCAAATGTAATAAATGACTATGTACAAAGAGAAAGCTGAGAGCGGCCACCTCGCTTTAACGAGCACATTGTCTTAATGCGCCGCCTGGCAAAGTGAACGTTAACTACATTCATTACAGTCGATAATAATACATGATTCGTATCTGAGCTATGGTTCGTGTCTGAGCTATGGTTCATGTCCGAGCTATAGTTCATATCCGAACTATTCACATGAGATGGACATGAGAGTTAGACAAGAGCCGATAATCGTTCTGCTTTTGTCTCACCAATGATGGCAGATCACGCGACGGTAGGCATGAGGCGAGCGGTGATTTTCTATCGTAAAGCTCATGTCTCCTTCCATTCCTTGTCGGCCCCGTTTCATCTTTCACGCGCTACATTTTATATAATTCGGATAGGATTTCGAGACGACTTCGAGCGCCCAATACATAGAAAAAAATTTATTTATTTATTATAAAGACATTTATTAAAAATGTTTTTTAATAAAACCTTTTCTTTTTATTTAAAATGATTATATCTGTATTTTATAAATGCTTGCAACTTATATTATTAATGTTTTATTTTATATATTTTTTAAATAATTAATTTGAAAAATATACATATCGATGATGCGAATGATATCTTACTTTGATGCATTTGCATGTTAGTGTTAGACATGAAAAACATAATGTAATACAACATCTAATGTATCGAATGCTGTGAACAGTTTTCTTGTAAAAAAATAAAGTTTCAATAAGATTACTCACACATATACGGCACAATACAGCATCTAATGCGCTAAATATTGTATTACATTATGTTTTTCATGTTTTTATGATAAATATCATCCTGGCTCATGTAAAAGAATTACGTTTCATTGTCGTGATTTCGCGGCTATTTGATGCTATGAAACAAGTAATGCGCGATAACACAATGGAAATAATCAGTCAGCGTAGCGAGCTTTACAAGTGACGTTCGATTCTGCGGTGCTTCATTATCTGTGCATAACAGATCTCTTCTATTGTTATAAATTTATATTTTTTTTAACGATCTGTGAGATCTGTGTATTTTGCAACACGTGTTATCGTTTCTTTTATAGAATACGACACATTATCTGTAAATATTTCTGCGTGTACACGTACGTGCGTGTATGCTTTTATTGTGTCGGTTGTGTAATTTTTTTATTTTTTATTTTTATTTTTTATTTTATCACGTGTTGTATTTCTCTTTTATTTCTACTTTTAAGTTCTTTTAATTTTATTTTTTTTTGTTTTGCATTATAATAAACAACAATCACTATGTCGAGTCAGTGCCCTGTAGATAGTTATTATGATAAGTGCGTGTACAAAGAGTGTAAGAATGGGAGATTTTCGCATGAGAAACGGCTATTCCAATTTCCAATGCAAAAGGATACAAGATGCAATACATGGATACGCAATACAGGTATATTTTTGTGCAATAATTGTCATTATTTTATTAATTTTTTGTCTTTTCTGTTCCCAAATTCAATACATATTATTTGTTATTTTATTATTTTAATTATTATTATTTATTAATTTATTATTTATTATTTATTAATTTATTATTTATTATTTATTATTTTAATTTTATTATTTCATAAAATAAAAATAAAAAAAAACGACAGCAGTAAGATTCGAACTCGGGTCAGCGCCGTGACAAGCAGACATCTTACGTGAATTGCTATGCGCTATTACGAAGTAGCGCTTTATCGAATTGATTATAACCGACACGCCTGACAGTAAATTTTTTTTATCAAACATTCGATATACCAATTGCTATGTCAGCTTGAAGTAAGCATGTAATCGTAATTTTCATAATGAGTTATATTT